ACAAGGATGTGATTAGTGAGGGATGTGGTATACTGTAACTGCAATGTGTGGTGAGTGAGGGCTGTGGTATACAAGGGTATGGTATGTGGGGGATGTGGTACAAGGGTGTGGTGTGCGAGGGCAGTGGTATACAAAGGTGCTGTGTGTAAGGGCTGTGGTATACAAATATGTTTGTGTGAGGGCTGTGGTATACAATTATGTATGTGTGAGGGCTGCAGTAAACAAGGATGTGAGCAGATCAAGAAAAGATCTCACAATCAAGAAACCTGACAACAAAACTTACCTTCCCACCAACATCCAGATCCCATAGTGGATCAGAGCAGTGACATCTACACTGTGAAGTGTCCCCTTTACATAGAATGGTCACAGAGACCTAGTCCCAGTTACACTAGTTTTCCTTGCATGGTCCTAGCTACAAGACCGACATAAGCCAATCCTCCTGGTCATGCTTATTCAGCAATAAATGTTCACCAGGTAGGTGTCCCATGAAGTGTTATTATAAAACTCACATAAAAGGTAACTACAGTTGTCAAGGAGCATCAAAAAGACATCAAACATCACTTATTATTCCAAAGTCATTGTCTACTATTGTACAGTAAATAACCAGCTTTTCCAGCAACAAATTGATGTACAGAAATTATTCTTAAGTTTAACTGGAAGCTATATAAAGGATTCACATCAACAGACACAGAATCTAGTACCAGGAAATCCAGCCATACTTCTATATATCAACACTATATATGTGCTGTATGTATATTTTGTAGGCCAAATCACTTCCTGTAACCCTACAGCTTTGTCCATTCACAACTGGTCCAGAGGCTGGAGTACTGTCCTGGGACTGTGTTTACACTCACACACGGCCAGGTCTGGCTACATTCATACAGATAGTAGGTAGATAGTCAGTGAAAGCATTACTTTCCCTCACACTATGGCTATGTCCATTCCTAAACTGGTCCGGAGGCTGAAGCCCTAGCCTGGTACCATGGTTCATACTGGCCAGGTCTGCATACATACATGCAGATAAGAGTTAGCCAGTGAAAGCATCCATTACTACTCAAAGCATCAGTGGATAAAGTTCAGAGCTACCAGGTGAGATGTGCAGTACTTTCTCTAATAATCTAAATTTAGTTTCTGAACGTTCTGCAGTGTAAGACTCGGAAGCCTAGAGATCAGCTGTATATTGTTGAAATGTCACTGGCCCATATGCATCCCAAAAGATTTGCCACAACATCAATAGTGGTAGGTGATATCATTCCACACAGTTTCAGAGTTGTGTTTGCTATAAAACCAATTAGCCCCAGCTCTATACAAACCTAGCTTTTTGGTAAATGGTTTGTCAGCTCTACAGTGGTCCATTAAGACCAGACTTCATGCTAGCAATACACAAACAGAGCCAGCTGCTGCAAGGTCTTATCAATAAACCAACTCCCAAAACACACCTCTACATATCATATAAAAACCAAAACCATTATCCCCAAGGCAGAGGTGTTAATCTAGCGTGAATGTGACCATAATACTCGACTAGCACAATCTCAACTTTATACAATTATGTTTCCATGAAAAAATCATTGAACTTATGCAGGTCCTTGGCTGGTAATTGCTGTTACGGCTTAGTGCTTACTTATTGTGATTCATACCAAAAGCACCTCTCCTAATAAATCTATATTGTACAGGAAAGTTAAGTATATTCTGTGTACTAGTGTGTCACCAAACTTAACAACATTAAAGGCAATTGAAGTGTGATAATTACAGTACTCAGAAACAGGTCTGACTTGCACATATACGCAGGATTTATCGGCATAATGAAAACAGTGAAAGGATTCTATACATATCACTGCAAACATAAGATATATATGATATAATACTACCTGTGGTCACAACATTAATAGATTTGATACACAATGATTTCTGTGGTCACTCCAAATGGCAGCAATATTTCGTACAATACTATCTGCAGTCACACCTAACACTAGAAATAGTGTGTACCATACTTTCTCCCACACCTGACAGATTTATCTCCCGTTTTGCCGGTGCTAGATTTATCTGTCCCCGCCCTAGGGTTGAGACAGGGGGATTCCCCTCTTCATAACAATGGCATGACGTCACTTCAAAAATACAATGACGTCACGTTCACAATCCATCAACAAATTGCCTGTATGTGTTTTGGGTCCATGGTTACCTTTATTTCACATTAAAATACTGTTAGATATGGGAGAAAAATAATCAATCGCTACTGGTTGTGTAAGATAAAGAAATATCAAACCTCGGACTAAGATTTTTTTGTCCAGAACTTAGTCCGAGGGTTGAGATTTCTCTATCTTACACAACCAGTAGCGATAGATTCTATTAATCTGTATATCTATCTATCGTTTACCCTATGGACCTAACACAATACAGATGTAAAATAAATCGTCCACGTTTGTTTCCTTAACAGTGGTCATCCCCCGATACCTTGATATTTCGGTGGTCATCCCCCGATACCTTGATATTTCGGTGGTCATCCCCCGATACCTTGATATTTCGGTGATCATCCCCCGATACCTTGATATTTCGGTGGTCATCCCCCGATACCTTGATATTTCGGTGGTCATCCCCCGATACCTTGATATTTCGGTGATCATCCCCCGATACCTTGATATTTCGGTGTTCTCTCTTCCTTTCACCCTCACAATTCCTCTAAATGTCTTTTCCTTTTACCCTCACAATTCCTCTAAATGTCTTTTCGATATATCGCAAAATCTCTTTATAATGCCAAAACATTGTTGGACATAAGGTGGCAGTATTATATGTACAGTACTAATATCAATGATGCCATTTTAGCCAGTGATGAGGATCGTTTAATGTTTCAAGAGATTTACAAGCCTGGAAAGCCATCATCACATCAGGTACTATCACCCAGAATTTTGGTACCCATGTTGTCAGTTAGGTTAAATGGAATGTGTTTTTCTTCAAAGATATGGTAAAACATGCTATTCACAGTCACAGCCGAGACATCAACCATTCAGTTGTAGCAGAATTCTCATCTCAAACTCATTTCGTCACAGGATTAGTACTGTTGTGTTACTATTTCGAAAAGGGGGATAACTCAGGAAAGAAATTCTTCATCTTTCTGCTTCTGCTCCAACACTTCAGGAATATTTTGTGCATCTTCTGACCATGTTACAGATACAACAGTGTGCCCAATATCGTGTAACACCTAATTAAACCCAGGCCAACAACAACTTTGTAATATTTTATCACAATTTGACAGAATATACTGCCTAAAACTTTGTGGTAACACAGAGTTCTCTCTATGGATTATATAACAGACAGTGATGGTTCTCTTTTTTTTTTTTTTTTCCATTTTCACAAATCCATGTTCCAGGTATCCGAGCCAAAATAACTTCACTGATGACCCTGATAATGTACACACAGATCTTAATGGTTACATTGATGGAAACTTCTTGATGTGCTGTAGTCATTGACATTTATCTCATTTTTCCATGTGTAACCAAATTGACCTCTTGCTTGGGGCCCCATGTCTGTTACTGATTTAGCCCCATGTCTGTTACTGATTTAGCCCCATGTCTGGTACTGATTTAGCCTGTAGTTTTGTTTCTTACTAAATTCCTACCTTCACTTTCCCTTTATCCATTCTCCACAAATACCAAACTTTGTGGCTATTCTCCTTCTATAAAACATTCTCCACAAATACCAAACTTTGTGGCTATTATCCTTCTATAAAACATTCTCCACAATTACCAAACTTTGTGGCTATAATCCTTCGATAAAACATTCTCCACAAATACCAAACTTTGTGGCTATTATCCTTCTTTAAAACATTCTCCACAAATACCAAACTTTGTGGCTATTATCCTTCTATAAAACATTCTCCACAATTACCAAACTTTGTGGCTATTATCCTTCTATAAAACATTCTCCACAATTACCAAACTTTGTGGCTATAATCCTTCGATAAAACATTCTCCACAATTACCAAACTTTGTGGCTATTATCCTTCTTTAAAACATTCTCCACAAATACCAAACTTTGTGGCTATTATCCTTCTATAAAACATTCTCCACAATTACCAAACTTTGTGGCTATTATCCTTCTATAAAACATTCTCCACAATTACCAAACTTTGTGGCTATTATCCTTCTATAAAACATTCTCCACAATTACCAAACTTTGTGGCTATTATCCTTCTATAAAACATTCTCCACAATTACCAAACTTTGTGGCTATTATCCTTCTATAAAACATTCTCCACAATTACCAAACTTTGTGGCTATAATCCTTCGATAAAACATTCTCCACAATTACCAAACTTTGTGGCTATTATCCTTCTTTAAAACATTCTCCACAAATACCAAACTTTGTGGCTATTATCCTTCTATAAAACATTCTCCACAAATACCAAACTTTGTGGCTATTATCCTTCTTTAAAACATTTTTCCACAATTACCAAACTTTATGGCTATTATCCTTCTATAAAACATTCTCCACAAATACCAAACTTTGTGGCTATAATCCTTCGATAAAACATTCTCCACAATTACCAAACTCTATGGCTATTAGCCTTCTATAAAACATTTTTCCACAATTACCAAACTCTATGGCTATTAGCCTTCTATAAAACATTTTTCCACAATTACCAAACTTTATGCCTATTATCCTTCTATAATACATTCTCCACAAATACCAAAGTTTGTGGCTATTATCCTCCTATAAAACATTTTTCCACAATTACCAAACTTTCTTTCTATTATCCTTCTATAATACATTCTCCACAAATATCAAACTTTGAGGCTATTATCCTTCTAGGAAACATTCTCCACAAATACCAAACTTTGTGGCTATTATCCTTCTATAAAACATTCTCCACAAATATCAAACTTTGTGGCTATTATCCTTCTTTAAAACATTCTCCACAAATACCAAACTTTGTGGCTATCATCCTTTTATAAAACACCACAAAACACCACATGTATATACAGCCAAATAGATACTACACCAACCTGTGGATTCCTTGGTCTCCTCTGAAGGCGTCGGCGGTGGTTCTGGAGTTTCCTCGATCATTTCCTTAGCCACATTGTGGTTCTGCTGGGACTTGGTGGAGCCATCATCTGGCTTTAGTACCCCTTTCTTCATCAACTCCTCTCGAGTTGACCGAAGGGAAATCTTTCGCTCCAGTTCTACAATACATCAAATCAACCTTGTATTTACCCCACAACAATCCCAGGGGGCCAACACTTAATCTCTAACCAAAAGTCGAGGGGGGGGGGGGGGGGGGGGGGGGATTATTACATGACAATGAATAGTATAGCAGTCATTGGGATTTTTAAACTGAAGTGCAATAGATATGGGTATGGTCAGAGACATGGGCGTATTGTCATATAAATACGGTAATAATTCCAGAGCCAACTAGTACTTCAGTAAAACACCTTTACATCCATAAACTCAATGTCGAATCATGGAAATATTTTTACTTACTGCATTATTATTGTTTGTATTTATAGATGTAGACTAGAAAATGTCTGTAAGACATGAATGACCCCAAAACACAACGATATCTGAGGTATACTCATACTTGACCTTTGTATAAAGTTTGACGAAAATCTGTGAAAGAATGAAAACGCTAAGTGTTTACATTGAATCGAGACGGGATGGGAGGGAACAGACTTGGGCAACATTCCCTTCCATTTTATGGCGGGGGCATACAAAAATTCAATGATATTGACAATTACCTGGTAGTGGGTAATTTATCATATGAACTATTACGATATGTGTTTGTTTTGATGAAATCGCCAACCCACTGGTAATCTTTTCACAGATAAGTTATTCATCTTCTTTTGTAACTGACACAAGCTTTAATGATATGTCATAAAAACTGTGCCAATGCTGATTAATTAGCATAACTCCTCCTACATGTAGTCATAATATACCACAGAACTTTGTCACATTTAGTATGATATCACAAACATAATTTGGTCCCGAGGTCCTTCCTATTATTATGTTTTACTGTGCAATACAAGTGTGTATCAAGCCTCCATCAGCTTGCTAAATCCAGACAGTCAGGACAGAAGCTAGCTACATCATTTTTGTACAAAGCTACCATAAAGCCATCAGGAACATATCAGAGAATTTGTGACAACAAGTCTTTATGTGGTTTTTGTACAGAGAAATGCCACAGCATCATAATCTTGTTCAATCTTCAAAATCTGGTTTAGTCCACTCTGGTGTAGAATCAAGGCAGAAGAAAATGACTACACTTTTCACCAGTGTAAAATAGGAAGGTTAAACCATCCTGTAGTGGACTATGGAGGCAGGAATCACTTGTTCCACTTTTATGCTTAGCCATAAATCCTTCCTCTAAAGTCAAGCAGCTTGATATTTGCCACGCACATTGTGAACACAGAAATCAGAAGGCTAGATGTCCTAGGTATCAATCTGGAGGGGAGATAAAAACCAGGCTCCCAAGGCAAAACATTTTGATAGTACAATGATAAACCTAACAGGGTGATCCCCTGTGGTTTGGGTACATTGAAAGTCTCAAAGATCTACTTACCAACAGCAGTTTTCTCTATCTTTTCACTCTTTTTCTTCCGCTTCCATTTCCAAGGTTTGAATAGCTTGCCGATAGAGGCGAATTTACTTTTTCTCTCTGGGGGCGGAGTGCTCGTCCCCAATGAACCCGACTTCATGTCCCCATTCTTCTTCTTATCTGCAAAGACACATCATATTATGCATTTACACTTTTATGTTTCTAGAATTTTATGTCATAGACCAAATAGCTACTGCTTATTTAAACAAAATACAACTTATTACCTGGGATAATGCTGCTAAACAAAATACAACTTGTTACCTGGGATAATGCTGCTAAACAAAAAACAACATGTTACCTGGGATAATGTTGCTAAATAAAATACAACTTGTTACCTGGGATAATGCTGCTAAATAAAATACAACTTGTTACCTGGGATAATGTTGCTAAACAAAAAACAACAAGTTACCTGGGATAATGTTGCTAAATAAAATACAACTTGTTACCTGGGATAATGCTGCTAAATAAAATACAACTTGTTACCTGGGATAATGTTGCTAAACAAAAAACAACTTGTTACCTGGGATAATGTTGCTAAAAAAAACCCAACATGTTACCTAGGATAATGTTGCTAAATAAAATACAACTTGTTACCTGGGATAATGTTGCTAAAGAAAAAACAACTTGTTACCTGGGATAATGTTGGTAAACAAAATACAACTTGTTACCTGGGATGATGTTGCTAAACAAAAAACAACTTGTTACCTGGGATAATGTTGGTAAACAAAAAACAACTTGTTACCTGGGATGATGTTGGTAAACAAAAAACAACATGTTACCCGGGATAATGTTGGTAAACAAAATACAACATGTTACCTCGGATGATGCTGATAAACAAAAAACAACCTGTTACCTGGGATAATGCTGCTAAACAAAAAACAACATGGTACCTGGGATAATGTTGGTTAACAAAATACAACATGTTACCTGGGATAATGTTGGTAAACAAAAAACAACATGTTACCTGGGATAATGCTGCTAAATAAAATACAACTTGTTACCTGGGATGATGTTGGTAAACAAAAAACAACATGTTACCTGGGATAATGTTGGTAAACAAAATACAACATGTTACCTGGGATGATGCTGATAAACAAAAAACAACATGTTACCTGGGATAATGTTGGTAAACAAAAAACAACATGTTACCTGGGATGATGTTGGTAAACAAAAAACAACTTGTTACCTGGGAAAATGTTGCTAAACAAAAAACAACTTGTTCACTTTGCCATCAAATATATTGACATGTGAACCTTGTAATTTCGATCGAAGTCATTTATCTGCTCATTTGCATAAGTGAACTCCTCCAAAAAAATCATGCTGAACAGTTCCCATCATTTTAATTGATAGATTAAATCAGGACACATAAAACTGTGACTGCTGGCCACAATACTGATAGGAACAGTTCTATAGCCCTATAGTATAAATGTTTACGAGCAATACTGATAGGAACAGTTCTATAGCCCTATAGTATAAATGTTTACGAGCAATACTGATAGGAACAGTTCTATAGCCCTATAGTATAAATGTTTACGAGCAATACTGATAGGAACAGTTCTATAGCCCTATAGTATAAATGTTTACGAGCAATACTGATAGGAACAGTTCTATAGCCCTATAGTATAAATGTTTACGAGCAATACTGATAGGAACAGTTCTATAGCCCTATAGTATAAATGTTTACGAGCAATACTGATAGGAACAGTTCTATAGCCCTATAGTATAAATGTTTACGAGCAATACTGATAGGAACAGTTCTATAGCCCTATAGTATAAATGTTTACGAGCAATACTGATAGGAACAGTTCTATAGCCCTATAGTATAAATGTTTACGAGCAATACTGATAGGAACAGTTCTATAGCCCTATAGTATAAATGTTTACGAGCAATACTGATAGGAACAGTTCTATAGCCCTATAGTATAAATGTTTACGAGCAATACTGATAGGAACAGTTCTATAGCCCTATAGTATAAATGTTTACGAGCAATACTGATAGGAACAGTTCTATAGCCCTATAGTATAAATGTTTACGAGCAATACTGATAGGAACAGTTCTATAGCCCTATAGTATAAATGTTTACGAGCAATACTGATAGGAACAGTTCTATAGCCCTATAGTATAAATGTTTACGAGCAATACTGATAGGAACAGTTCTATAGCCCTATAGTATAAATGTTTACGAGCAATACTGATAGGAACAGTTCTATAGCCCTATAGTATAAATGTTTACGAGCAATACTGATAGGAACAGTTCTATAGCCCTATAGTATAAATGTTTACGAGCAATACTGATAGGAACAGTTCTATAGCCCTATAGTATAAATGTTTACGAGCAATACTGATAGGAACAGTTCTATAGCCCTATAGTATAAATGTTTACGAGCAATACTGATAGGAACAGTTCTATAGCCCTATAGTATAAATGTTTACGAGCAATACTGATAGGAACAGTTCTATAGCCCTATAGTATAAATGTTTACGAGCAATACTGATAGGAACAGTTCTATAGCCCTATAGTATAAATGTTTACGAGCAATACTGATAGGAACAGTTCTATAGCCCTATAGTATAAATGTTTACGAGCAATACTGATAGGAACAGTTCTATAGCCCTATAGTATAAATGTTTACGAGCAATACTGATAGGAACAGTTCTATAGCCCTATAGTATAAATGTTTACGAGCAATACTGATAGGAACAGTTCTATAGCCCTATAGTATAAATGTTTACGAGCAATACTGATAGGAACAGTTCTATAGCCCTATAGTATAAATGTTTACGAATGTGTAGACATTAGGCTGAACAATCAATGTCACAATGGTGTATCACATGTTAATATGTGTGGTGGATAAAGGGTTTTGTTTAGCGGCTTCATCCCATGTCACTGAATCAAAATATTCAAATTAAGTGGACACTCTTGTTCTCTGATAACATAAAATGTCAAACACTCTTGTTCTCTGATAACATAAAATGTCAAACGCATATCAATTAGACAATGAGCTGAATATAGGTTTTTAACAGCTAATTATACAGATGATTTTTAGCAGTGAAAATAACATGGATATAACTCCCACTACACGACCACCAAACCCCCACCCCCTAAAACCAATGTTGAAATCTAGCAATTGGTATATAACTTAAACACTTTTTTCCGAAGATTTTGACATCTCACAGGCTTCTACCCATCATTAATAATCTTTCATCACAAATCAATGTCTGTGAATATAGAAAGTATGACAGGAAATGATTTAGATTGTCTGTTAGTGGGGGACCTTGACATAAACCATAAGGTTATTCTTGTACAACAGTTGTAAATGGAAAGGGAGACAACTCTTATTAATCTGTCTTCCTCCAGTAAGGTGTGAACAAATATCATGTAGTAATGGTAAACCAACATACAGGCAACTGTAGGTGGTACTACATCAGACGATCACCAACACTTCACCAACATACAGGCAACTGTAGGTGGTACTACGTCAGACGATCGCCACCCCTTCATCAACATACAGGCAACTGTAGGTGATACTACATCAGACGATCGCCAACACTTCATCAACATACAGGCAACTGAAGGTGGTACTACGTCAGACGATCGCCAACACTTCATCAACATACATGCAACTGTAGGTGGTACTACATCAGACGATCGCCAACACTTCATCAACATACAGGCAACTGTAGGTGGTACTACATCAGACGATCGCCAACACTTCACCAACATACAGGCAACTGAAGGTGGTACTACGTCAGACGATCGCCAACACTTCATCAACATACATGCAACTGTAGGTGGTACTACATCAGACGATCGCCAACCCTTCACCAACATACAGGCAACTGAAGGGGGTACTACGTCAGACGATCGCCAACACTTCACCAACATACAGGCAACTGTAGGTGGTACTACGTCAGACGATCGCCAACACTTCATCAAATAGGCAGCTTAATCACGTTAATTAGAAAGCATTGCTCTAACACCACGTCAGCCAGCTGGGGTAGTCAGAGCCAATCACTCACAACACCACCTCCTACCAACCAACAATATTAACCTTACACACAGGCAGCCAGCTAGGGTAGTCAGAGCCAATCACTCACAACACCACGTCAGTCAGCTCGGGTAGTCAGAGCCAATCACTCACAACACCACCTCCTACCAACCAACAATATTAACCTTACACACAGGCAGCCAGCTAGGGTATTCAGAGCCAATCACTCACAACACCACGTCAGCCAGCTGGGGTAGTCAGAGCCAATCACTCACAACACCACCTCCTACCAACCAACAATATTAACCTTACACACAGGCAGACATCTTCGGAAATCGCATTGTATATCCCAGTTGTTTTAAGGCTGAATCTTTATCATTTTATTAATTTTGAAAGTCAACCTTATGTAGCTTACATATCAAATTTCTATTTTATCGTGTCTAGAATATGTACCGTCTCATTGAAATCAAGATGTTGTTCTGAACTGCCTATAAAGGCCAGAGCTTCAAGATCAAAGAATTTTCCAACGTTTTACACTTTACTGTACATTTCATTGTATTGCATAACATAACATGGATCCCTATCAGATCTAAGGGAGCAGTTAACATGTTTGTTGACGATAGGGAAATACCACTTGTAAGGTTTGGAATTGGGAGTGCATGCAGTTTTCAGCAACGCTTCTGATATTCTTCCAGTCCATTACCTCAGTCACCTTGGGAATTAACACTATTTATGCATCTCCCCTTTTTCAAGAATTGATCCTGATTTTGTATAAATTTATTTATATATTTTTAATATTGAGGAATTTGTATTCAGCAACAAAAATTGCAGTCTAATAGTTACTACCGGCAGGTATTATGTATTCTATCTATTTCAAATATGTTATAATTGAAATTCCAACGATTTTAAACAGGACACAGAATCACAAAGCTATCTCCTTATCAGAAAATGTAAGGTAAATAGATGAGGCAAAAACTGATCACTGACATACTGACAGATAAATGATGAGGTATTTGATTATATTTAAGGATTGAAATGCATATTCTGAACGCTTTCGAACATATTTTATTATTTGTAGGTAACTGAGTTTAATACTTATAAAAATATTAAAAACTGATAAAAATCTGATT